TTAAATTTAATGTTTCAGCAAAATTTCCTCTTATGAAAACTATTCGCTGGATACCAATTTACACTACTTTTATCAGTATAACCGACTTAATTCCACCATTAAAGCAACGAATGTGGGTTTCCAACTTGCGCTGCTAGTTGAACAATAAATACCATTGACTGGGCTTAACCCATCTGCTAGTCTACATAACCTAGACTAGCAATTTACAGTTCTTGGACCATGAATGAGCTTTATATCTTTAGGTCACTGAAAATTCGTCGCAATAAAATGAAGATTTCAAACGTTGAATGGTTTGTTACAACAGCCTGCTACTAGATTTAGAAGATAAACTATAATTTATCGTTGCTTTTTTTGCATATAAGAGTGAGAGGCATAGAGACTCTCTTCCAGATTCTTCCCGCTACAAATATATATGCAAATTTTGCTTATTAAGGTACCTGTTAAGCAAAAATTTGGCTTGTCGCTGAACATAAATGTCAAATTTGTTTTGACAGCGGTTTTGACAGCCATCCCTCTGGGGAATTCTATACTTCTAAAGCACACTCTATAAAAATATGTAGACATATTTAAATTTATAAAAAAATATATTAAATTATAAAAATCATATGCTTTCTTTCAAAGTAAAAATTAAATATTTTTCACGCACACAAATTTACATTCATATATGACAAAATATATTTATTTATATTTGTTTATATGTGATCTATCAAAACAACTTGAGTCACTCGTGCGTTGTCTAAAGAGAACGCCTGTCGACAAAATTTCAATGTAAATACATACATACATACATATGTAGTTGTACATTTACATGCATATATGTAAGGCAAATTGCACACAAACAGTGCAAATTCGCCTTTATCTATGCACATGTGAACCTAAATATTTGTGTACGTATAAAAGTATGAATATTATGTTCTTTAATCTGCCAAAATCTGCTCGCTTATCGCCACCACCCCCTTTGCTTTCTGCCCAGTTTCCCAAGTATTAAGTCATTTGCTAAATTTGAAATACAAAACAAAGCAAATGAGCGAATGGTAGAACAAATAAGTAATATGTAAACGAAAAGAGACGAAACAAAACAAAGCAAATATTTTAAAGAAAAACAAAATTATATTAACATAAAAAATGTGTGTAATATATTATAAATATGTAGCAAATTACACATCTAATATATATGAGCACACATTTATTTGCAAAGGCAATGAAAGTGAAATGTTTTCTAAAATTTCGTAATAGCAGCATGCAATTAACAAAAGTAATAAAAATAGAAATGTGAAAAATATTATTATTTAGTTTTAGAGGTTATAATTTAGTTAAAGATGAGCAAATTGTGTTGGCAAATAATGTTTATTTAATCGATATGGGCATTGTTCAGGCAAGATTGGGTATTTTTTGGAATTTTATGGTAAAGGCTGTGTAAAAAATGTTAAAAACAAGAAAAAACGTTAACTTCGGTTGCGCCGAAGCTATAATACCCTTCACAAATACACAGTTAATATGGCAGCTATATGCTATAGTCGTCCGATCTATATAATTTCTTCGGAGATTAGATTAATGCCTGTAATAATAATACATGCCAAATTTTGTGAAGATATCTCGTCAAATGAAAGAGTTTCCCATACAAACACTTGATTCCGATTGTTCAGTTTGTATGGCAGCTATATGCTATATTCATCCGATCTATACAATTTCTTCGAGGATTGGATAATTGCCTTAAATAATAATACATGCCAAATTTTGTGAAGATACCTCGTCAAATGAAAGAGTTTTGCATACAAACCCTTGATTCCGAGCATCTTCTTAGTGAGAAAAGGACAGGTGCAAAATTTTAGATCGATAGCGTAAAAACTGAGGGACTAGTTTGTATATATACAGACAGACGGTCGGACAGATAGATGGAAATGGCTAAATCAACTCAGCTCATCATGCTGACCATTTATGTATATATTTGATAGGGTCTCCGACGTTTCCTTCTGGGTGTTACAAGCTTCGTGGCAAACTTAATATACCCTGTGTAGGGTATAAAAAGTCAGTTTAGTAATTGCTTTTAAGAAATCTGTTCAATGTACTTATGCGTGTACTTATATAATATACATATGTATATTGCACGCATTTGTTAGCCGTGGGAACATCAAACACAATCACGTTTCAATGTCACACAAAATAAATATAAACATTAATATTAAAAAATTAATAAAAAAAAATAGAAATTTTGCAAAAATCACGGACAGCCATGAATGAAAGCCGCACACAACTGAATAATATACTATAAAGGATATAAGTATAGTGCAAAGTAAGAATTACTCAAATATGCGTGTGAATAAGTATTGAAAAAAAATATACATACATATATACCATATATAATATAATATATGTTTATTAAAAACAAGTGTTTTTAAAACATAAATATGTGCGCAGCTATATTTTTCGCACACTCCATTAAAATTAATTGTTTATTGTCAAAAAGTAAAAGTGTATGTAAGCACACACACACGCATATTAATATATGCGTTTTGCATGCGTATGTATGTTTATAGCAATTTCTTATGCAGTCAACCACAAGGATTTATTTTATTTACTCACTCATTTTTTGTTTGCAAAAATGTTGACAATATGAATAATTTATTTGTTTACAAATGGCTGCGAGAAGGTAAAAGTGGTAAAATAAATACGGTCAAGTGTAACTAAATAAAAAGTCAAACAAGTAACTGACATCGCTGAAATTTCGTATAGGCTACCCACTACTCCTACCCTAAATATGTGAAAAACGAAACGCAAGCAAATCGTGGGCGGCAAAGCTTTATGAAGCTAGCTAACGGAATACTTAAACTTAGCTGTGCAATATACACACGCGTCGTAGCTATGTTAAATAAACATTTAAATGCGAGGTGGGCGTGGCTTTCAGCAATGCACGCCCATGCATGGTTATGCGCACATTTGCACGAGTCAAAGTATTGCTGCAGCTCAATAAAGCACAATATTCAGACTTACAAGGAGCATATTGGTAAACCGTTATAAGGTCAGTGGGCGTGGTACGATGCATGTAAATAATGCTATAAATGTATGCTAAATAAACATTAATGTGTAGTAACGTTGCACGTTCAGCAAATAAACAAAAGTTGAACAATATTTTCACTCACCTTTATTTCATCACTGGGCAATTCCTTCTTTATTTTGACCGCCTGCATGGCTGCTGTAGCACTAATATCACGCGGTGCTGTGTTCAAACTGGAACTCGGTGTTATTTCCACAGCGCCTGTTGTTGTTCTAGTGTGATTTGCTGTTTCTAAAGTAGCGGTTTTTGCTTTTATTTTTGTACCAACACTCAAAGGTGAGGTTTTCTTTGACATGCTTTTTGTGTGTTTATATATTATTGTAACTTTTTGCAATTATTTCCGTTTCACTTTGGTAAAATTTGTTTAGCACGTTTTTAAATTACTGCAAAGAATGAGATTAATTAATAAACTAAAGCAATTCAACATAAGTTTCAAATATTTTTGGTAAACATTAGCGTGTAGTTGCAACATTTTATTGCGTTTTGGCTTGTTTGGATTTTGAAATTTCAAAATCCGTTGTAATAAATCACTACACTAAAAAGCATATTTTATTGTCTACAGTTTCCATATTTTTGTTTTTTTTTTTGGTTTTTTTGTTATTGCGGATGCTTTATTGTTGCCTTTTTTATATTCTTCGGCGCTCACATAATTAATTTTCATCTTATTGGTGCTTTGTTTGTTTGTTTTAAGTAGCACAAATCGGCTGTGAATTTTTGAAAATTTCTATATAGTTTTTTCTCCTTGAGAACGCCTATGGAATGCTTATATAAATCCATTTACCCTGCACACAGCCAAGCATACACACATGCACGCCCGGGCAAGATATCTTTTTACACATTGATTTGCGTGCATTTGTTTCATGTCTGCCTTCCCGTCAACTTTTTGGTAATTCAATACTTTCGTTGAAATGTTACCAAGTATCGAGTAACGCTGCACAATGCTTGGAGAACGTTAAATCGAAAAAAGTTCCGAATAAATGACATGCAATACAAATGTGGATGACAAAGTTAAGAATTCAAATAAAATCAAACAAAAACAAAACACAAATTAAAACGACGAACAAAATTGAGTTTCAGTGCAAAACTATATATGTATGTTAATTCAGTTGTATGTAAATATGTATGTATGTACAGGCCGACATACTTAAGCGTATTTCATGATAATTCACTTCACTTTAATTAAGTTTTTAATTTTTCATATTATTTAATTTCCTTTTATTTATACATTTTTGCATTACACATATTTTTTTAGTATGTTTTTTATTTTTGTATTGTTTAGTTTGCTTTTCTTTGCATGTTTTTATATTTAAAAAAAAATTTTTTTTTTTAAATTCTTTTTTCTTCACATTTTATTTTTGTTTAATTGATTTTCGTTACTTTTATAAATCTTCGCTTTAGTTTTATTTTCATTATTTAAGTTTTAACCTCAAAATAGATAAGCGTTCTCTTCGTGGTATCGCATTTAATGCTCTCAACAAAACACAAAAAGTTTTCATTGCTGAGATTTTCCACATTTCACTAGGCGCATGCTGTTTTTAATACAAAAATAGCTGCAAATATACATTCCTATTAATTTTGTACACAAATATCAAAACAAAAAAATCAAAAAAACAAAAATAGTTTTACAACACTTGCACTTAATTATTTTTTCGCTTTACACATATCGCTTTTATTTTCACTAATTAAATCTTTTAGTTATTAAGTATTTTATAGACGAATAATAAATCCAATTAGAGCACATTTTATCTACATATAAAGTAGCTAGTATGTGTTTATATCTATTGAGCCACACACACATTTATATTATTTTTATTGCCACAAATGACTCGAAAGCCGCCAGACACATTGGCCAACCGCACACGCTCGCGTTTCGCTAACAAATAAGCCTTTCGCGCCACATTCTACCTGTTTTGCTCCAAGCTATCTTCCTGCAGTTAGTGCCGTTGAAAGAGTAAAATCGACGTAATTTCACTCTGCTGCGCGTTACACTCATTGAAAACTGGCGCTCTCTTGAGCAAGGAACTCACCTTTGCTGCTTGGTTCGTGCGCTCTGCGTATGTCGTGAGAGTTATATTAAATTTATTTTTAACTTTCGGTTATATTTTATTTGTTTCTTACTTAATATTTTATTGCTTGCAATTTGCCTTTAGAATGAAATTGAAATCAGTAATGAAAATGAAAGCAAATTGAAGTGAAATTCAAAAACACATAAAAAACACGAACACGCTCGTGATCAAATTCACATGTTGGATTGTAGAGGATAAAGAAGGCGCACTGCATTCTTTTAATTTGACTACGAAATACTATAAAAAAAGCGGTTTCAACGTGCGACACGATTGTAGCAGAATTTCATACAACAAAAACGTAATCGAAATCGAATGACTAGCACACATACATATGTGCATACAATAGATATATTTCTATGTATATTATTTCAGTAATTTTATTGCTTTCTATGTTTCAAGTTAACAAATTTCGCACAAATTAGCCAATAGCTTTTATAGCCGTAATAAAAACTCATTTCATATCGTTTTCAAATAAAATTATTATATTATAAACTTTGTCAATTGTCTGACTGAACATCCTTCTTATCTAGTATCATATTGCAAATTTGCATACCCAACATTTAGTTTTGTTTTGCTGTTAAAAACAACAACAACGCCGCATTTATGCATGAGTTCAATAATATAAAACAATAGTGCTTCGAAGAGCAACAACTTTGCGCGTTAATTAAAACAATTTCTCAAGTGTGCACATTGCAGGCAAGAAAGCATTTGAGCTGAAAGAAAATTGGTGTATTTGTTGTTTTCGTAATTTATACATAAATTTATGCATGCGCATATATTTGTTTGCAGTGGCTGTTGGCATTTGTTTAATTTTCTCGTAATTATGCCAAAAGTCAACTACTCGCTTGTGGTCACTGTGAAAGTTCTAAATTTGTAAAATATGTACATATGTATTTTTATACATTTGGAAAATAAAAAGCCAAAAAAACAACAAATACTTGAATTACACGAATATGCTACTGCATAATGTTATATATTTTCAAATACGGCACATATGTTTGTATTTTCCAATATATTTCACAGTTTTAAGTTTTTGAATTGTGTCATGCTTTTTCCATTATTTTCTGTGTCACATGCGCCACTTGTTTCTTTTTTTCATTTATTTGCTTCGCATCTATTTGTATCGCTTGATCACATTTCAAATATTCGCAGCGTGTTCATAGCTCTACAAGTAGCTAAAATATTTCGTTTAAACTTTTCTTGCGCTTTTTCTCTCAGTGTATGCAGAACAACTGTCCATGTGCTGATGATGAAGCTTGGCGCATTCTGTAAGAACTTTGTTCTGCTTGCAACTCACTTGAATTTATAAACACCTGGACGCATGTACATTGCTGCACACAATCGAACTTATTTTCGTTGATTCAAGTTTAGTAAATACCGTAATGATTAGCTGAAATGGCAAAACAGATTGCTTCACCGTGTTCTGTGAGATATTTGTCAGACCTTTGGCACTTTCATTGACAATTGTTTCTTTGTTTATTTATTTTAACTTGCACAAAGTGTTGCACGTTTTCCGCGTACTTTGACGTATTTAAATATGTGTGTAAACTATATAAATTTAAAAATTTTAATTTTAATACACCGGTCACGGTTAGTTTATGGTATTTCCGCTTACTTATTTTGGACATCCGTATTGTAGTACCGTTCATTCCCGCTATCCGTTCACATCTGATTGACTGAGCGGCGTGCAGTGCGTGATATGGTGGCCAACGAATTGAGCGGTGTGGTGAAAATACTTCGAATGGCCAAGAAAGTGGATGATTCTTTGGAAATTCTTTTACTGCTTTTTATTTTATTACATACTTAAATAATAAATGATTATCAAGAAATCTTAGCTTTATATAGAAACCGGAAGTGAAAAGTACGAAATTCTGTTAATAAAAAACTACCTTTTGAGAATATTTGTAATAAGTGAATGTCATTGAAGCTATAATAAAGATTTGTATAAAAATACGTGAAAAATTAGTTTTTTTGTGTCACATTTGAGCAGATGATACATTTTGTTATAAAACAAATTTTAAAAATAAAAATAAAATTAAAATAAAATACAAGTTGAATCAGCTTACTTATTCACCACTTAGCACGGTTAGGAACCGAAGTTGGTGGTTAAGGCAGAGAACGTATATTGTATATTATATGATTTACGTTATCTGGTAAAGAAACCAAAACAAAATTGTAATAAAGCGAATCACCCGACCACAATAAACAGCGAAAACAGCTGTTTTTGGCAAACGTAGAAAAATCAGGATGAGCTGCCCAAACAGCTGATAAATTTTTATATAGTGCATTTAACCAGAGAACGTATAACATACGTTCTCTGATTTAACTTCGAATAAAATGACAAAATTACCGCAAACTGCATTAAACTTGAAACAGGTAAATATTAAATAATTTCCTGTGCGCAGTTAACTACTAACTTCATCTGTTGTGTCAAACACTGGTATAGTTCATGCTTCGTCAGGAGGTGCTTAAACTATATCGTGAAATATTTCGCACCATAAGACTGGTGCCCGACAAGAGCAACCAGCGAGAATTACGTGACTGGGCGCGTCACGATTTTCGTACGCATAGCGGACAAACAGATGAATTGGCTATTAAAATGATGCTGCAATACGGACGTAGAAGTCTTACTGAGCTGCAGACAAGTTTGGATCTGAGTGGCATAAGTAAGGAGAAAGCAAAGAGTGGAGTAGCGGAAGAAAGTAAGAGAACATACAGTGAAGAAATCAAAAGTTAAATGAAAATCGATACCAAGAAAATAAAGAACTTTACTGAAGAACGCTCTGCTAACCGACAACTTTAAAATAAGCTGGATAAATATAAAAATATAAAATAAAACAGTTGCATATTTTATTTTATTTGAGTATAGCGTTTTATTTATTTATTTGCCAGTTTGTGCATATTATTTGGTAATTCAGCAGTTCCGATTTAGTGGCTTGTTGGATCCACTACAAACTTTAGTCTAACTTATTACGTTTTAGGTGAATACGTTACGTTTACGTATCTACATTATTAGAAAATGTTAACTCGATATAATGCATGCTATTCGAATCAGCGTCTAGGTCCTTTTAATTGCAGTAAATTGTTTGTTTGAATACTACAGCATCAACTATTTGGTAGAAAAACTATAAATTAATGTGTTTTTGTTATCATTAAGCATGCATTACGCGCGTCTTACTATAGACAAGTTAAGTATGCAATAAAAATAAATAATAATTGTAGTTACTTAAGAAGTTGAGAAATTCAACAGAAATAGCACCACTTAACGGACTAGTATAGAAATCGTATCACACTCATCCAAAGCACTTTCAAAAGCGCTGAACCAAACAGTATCGTGCCTGTGCCAGCGACTAGTAATGCTATAAAATCGCGTTTTGGGCGTTCAGTTACGCGCTGGACTAGAAAACTGTGTACGATAGTGCTTGTGATGTGATAGCCATCAAGACCAAAGCATGGTATGGCGTTTAGAAGCGCTTGACCAAAACTGAAAATCACATTATATTTGAGGAAGAGAGCGTAAGTATCTCCCCATTGGGGTGACACATAGGACTGACGCGGCACGAAAGGTGATATCCGCACTGTACTCGAAACGTCAGCTGGATGTCCAATATAGATGACATCGCGCAATTTTGTTAGTTGGCTTTTGGTGCCGCCGCTTGTGCGTTTGAATGTTAAAATCGTAGTTGTGTTGCGTAGTAAAGGACGCAAGCAGAAACCACTCTGACAGAAACTGTCTCTACTCGATTTGCTGCTTTTGCCAACGCCACCGCCACAGAAACCATGCGAGTCTTCTATTGTCCGGCGTACATCTAGACAAACATGTTGCGGTATTTGTGCGTGTTCGGCTGTATCTGTAATTTCCGCAGTTTCCAAGCTATTAAGGCCTTCAGCGACAGACTCGAAGCAACAAAGTTTTACGTTGCGTTCATCACAACATTGTAGCATGCCATCGGCGCTGTGATGTGAGATTTCGATGCTTTCATCGTTGTATCGTATAAAATCATGGGAAACACAGTATCCCAGATGTGGGGCGCGTATCGAACGTCGAAGGCAATCGTACCAATCTGACTCTGTGTTTACTTTGCAGTCGTTAATTTGTGTAACAATATCACCAGTTATTAGTCCTTTGCCTGCTGTGCCAACCAGCGGAGAATTGCGTGTCATATCTGTAACCACAACGCCATGGTCTACCGTGTAAAACGGAGCGGCAACGTAACTCAACGTGGAGAGGAGCAAGTAGCAGAAGCAAGCAAATAAAAAGTTATGCCAAATGCCAGCGCAGATAATACGCAGCTTCTTGAACCATTTTAGTGCATTCAGGTGTTCCGTGGAGATCTCGGTATATGCGAACGGTAGGCACAGGTAAAGCTACACATATAATATTATTTAAAAGTTGCAATAGAAGCGCATATTAAGACTTACTTGAAACCCAAATCCAATCACCGGTATATCTTCTTGCACCGCCGCCAAAGCGTGTCCGAATTCGTGTACTATTGTACATAAGAGTAAAGTTAATGCATAATAACCAATTTCCTCGAGTGGTAAATTAACACCCGGCAATAAAATTTCCACTTTTGGTGCATTTTGTAGTACCCCACTTTCGGCGCCTGGTCCATTCAGAGTAGCACCGCTGGTGCCGACATTTGCTGTACTATTATTTTCGCCATTAAATATTGTTATAAATAACAAAATTATACCAATTGGTAACAACGACAAGGACACCAAGACGCCGACAGTGTAGCTACGTGTGAGCCATAGACGCATCCAGCCGCTATTGTTACCCCATCGTAGCATGGCACGATTAAATGCAGTTGTGTGCCAACGCAGGCGCATAAATTGCACTGTCAGGCCAGTATTTTTCAGAAATGCATCATATGGATAGTGCATACAGCTCTGCAACAAAGTAAACACACATATATATACTTGTATATCTGAGAGGTGCAAAGATCAAGCGGGAGAGTCTTACCTTGAACAGGCGATCAATGAAAAAACAAACGCAGTAAAGCACCACAATAACGCCGAGAAAAATCCAGGGATCCATTTCCACAACGCGCTGAAGCTGATCACTTTATTTGTTTCTTAGCACGCAATATATTTACATATATTATTTTAGCTTTACCATTATAACGACCACTTACACTTTATGTGTATTTAATGCAAACGATGTATATTATTACTCGTTGTTGCCTGCAATTGAATATTAGAGGTTGTTTTGGGAACTGCTATTGTTGACATTACTATTTGAGAACGAACAGATGTTTGAATCAAATGTCAAAAGCATTCGCAATAGAGCCGTTGGGAAATATGTGCTTTTGCTGGATTTCTGTTGAGAAATTTCTGTACTTTATTTTAAATATCAATACACGGAATGTAAATTTATATTCTCTGATCAATATAAATTAAAGATATGAAAAATATTAAAAAATTTAAATATCAAATCGAAAATAATGCACATCTTATATTTTATTAAATCGTGATATCGAAATTACTATACATTTTTAACTCTGAAGTCTTTAGCTCCAAAATGATACTGAACCGACAATATTTTTGTTTACCAATGAATGTGTGTATGTAGTAAAGTGCGGATTGTATATGTACCTTTTAGAGATAAACAAATTATTAAATGGGAGAGCCACAATGGGGAGCACCAAAATAATATTGAACTGTCGAACGTATGTATTGTTTTTATCAGCAATTATTTCATCAAAAATCGATCGTGCAGCTCTTCGTGGCAGCACGTATTATAAAAAATACTCAACCATAAATATTTGGACAAATGACTCATGACGCATTGAGGCCATGCTGCGGTGAGTGTAACATTTGCCTTAAAAAGAACCATACGCATTCCATCAGCGGCAGTAGCAAAAGTAGGAAGTGTACTTCGTGAAACGTATTAAATTGGTAAATTGCTCAACATACTTAATTTCGAGGGTTTTAAAATAATTTAAAACTGTAGTTCTTTATACTTGATATCTCTGCTAAATAAGTGTACAGAAAGTGCTATAATGTTCGATTTCAATCTACAATTTGCCCGTGGTGGAGCAACTGTTACCACGGAGCTCTTCGAATTACTCTCAGCCGGTGGTGTAAAGCAAAACATTGTCTTCTCTCCATTTTCAATTCAGACCTGTGCTGCATTGGCATTTGCCGGTGCCAGTGGAGAAACCGCTGATCAAATCGCTGAAGGTTTGAAATTTGTGTCGAATTTGCATCCGGAAGTAGCTTCAACTTTCGCATTTGTTTTTGACAAATACAAGGATAGTGAATTGTTGAAAATTGCCAACAAAGTGTACGTTCAACAGGGACATGACTTGAAACCAGACTACCAAACAGACTTAAAAGAAAGTTATAATGCTGAAACTGAGAATGTCAACTTTGAGGAAAGCGAAAATGCTGCTTCCGTTATAAATTCTTGGGTTGAAGATAAAACGGCTGGAAAAATAAAAGATCTCGTGCACGCATCGGCTTTCAGTGCATTAACCCGCCTGGTTTTATTGAATGCACTGCATTTCAAAGGTTTATGGGCGCATAAATTTGATGAGGAACAAACCGCTGAAGATGATTTTTGGATCTCCGAAGAGGAATCAGTTAAAGTGCAATACATGAATCAAAAAGCGAAATTTGGCTATGGTTACTTTGAAGAGTTGGACTGCCAGGCTCTTGAACTGCCTTACAAAGATTCCGATCTATCAATGCTAGTACTGTTGCCTAATGAACGAGAAGGCCTCAAAACTCTTGCCGAGAAACTGAAATCAGTAAATTTGGTCGATTTAGCTGGCGATCTAGGTGCCGATGAGGACGTTGTGGTTCAATTTCCAAAGTTTAAGGTGGAATTCGAAGTAGAATTGACGGAAACATTGAAGAAGGTAAAGTAAAAGTACTGCAATTTTTGTATGACCTTCACACTAAAAGTCAATATCGCTATGGTTACCTTAAAATTTGTATTGGCCATTTTTGCCAATTGATTTGTATGGAAAAAAACTAATGTTGCCAATTTGAAAGTACAAAATCTATAAATAGCCTTTGGGTCACTTCTCACATTCTTATCGTCGCCTTAACTTATCACATATATAATTTTCGGTCTGTGCCATAATCAACATTTTATCTTTACGACGTTTACTGTAGGTTTAAAACAACAAATAACGCCTAGTGAATATAAACGCTAACAGTACAACCAAAAATTACAATTTTTTGATAATTTTTTCACCAGTTCTCAATGCAACCGTATTTTCATGCACTTTCAGCTGGGTATAAGCAAAATCTTCAGCGAGGATGCTGAGTTTAGCAACATGTTGGAATCATCCGAGAATCTGCAAGTATCCAATGTTTTCCATAAGGCTGTTATTGAGGTGAACGAAGAGGGCACCGAAGCAGCGGCCGCAACTGGTAAATATGCCGCATACATACATCATTTATATACAACTATATATTTTTCTAAATTCTACAATTGTTTTAGCAATGATAATGATGACTCGTTGCATTCTCATGCCACTGCAGTTTGTTGCTGATCGCCCGTTCTTCTATGCTATTTGGAATAAGAGAAATATTCTATTTGCTGGTGCATTTGTCAATGCGCCTTAAAAGGCCGCTGAGTTAGCGTCGAAATAAGACGTCACGTTCAAACATTCTTTGCGAACCATGAAGTATTTGAATTCAACTAAAGCTTATTAATATTTTTGTAATGTTTTTAATATGAAATTTTTTAAAATACATACATACATATGTAATCCAATAATAAAAATGTCTCTATACTGCAATTTTCACAACAAAAAACAAAACGCAATTTTTGCTTAATTAAATTTATTATTCCTCTTTAGGTATGATTTCCTTTAATAATTAAAGTTTTGATTTTCGAAAATACACAAATTGAGAATACCGAATATGTTTAATAATAGGAATGCATGATTTGAGCTTCGAATTAGAAAAGTTCATTGAAATAAATAATAATATCAAAATTATATTTAATATGGTTGATTTTGAATTTAAGTAACATAAAGTGATGTGTGCGTGATATGCACTGATGGTGTGACGTTTTACGATAAAGGAATGACAAGAAACAAACATAAATATCAAACAAATATATGAAAGTCGACAAATAACTCAACGTTTATAAAAAAATATTAGGAAAGTACGTACGATTTAAATTTTCAAAAACAGTGTGATTGGACAGTGGTCGCTGCCCTTAACCTGCGCACGGATACAGTTATCCACTACTCGTTTAGTGAAACGTTCCGAAACAATATAATAATCTAAGCGCCAGCCAACATTTCGCGATCGTGCATTTGCCATGTATGTCCAATATGTGTAAGCACCTAAGCGATCCGGATACAAGTGTCTAAATGTATCAACAAAGCCAAGTGCCAATAATTCAGACATTTTGTCGCGTTCCTCCTGTGTAAAACCGGCACTACGTGTATTGGTTTTTGGATTTGCCAAATCTATGGCCTGATGTGATACGTTCATATCACCGCATATGACAACAGGCTTTATGGCATCCAAACGTTTCACATACTCCTGAAAGAGTTTTTCCCAGCGCATACGTGCCTCCAAATTTACCAGCTTCCGCCCAGAATTTGGCACATAAACATTGATCAGAAAGAATTTTTCATACTCAGCTGTAATCATGCGACCAACTTCGTCAAACTCTTCATTATCAATGCCATATACCACATTAATGGGCATAATCTTCGAATATATAGCCACGCCTGCATATCCGCCGGGCATGCAAAGCCAATAGGGATGATAACCTGGTATACGGGCAACTTCCTCCGGCAGTTGATCTATGGTGCATTTAATTTCCTTCAAAATTAAAATACATTTAATAATTAACTAATACGATATACATATATCTATTGTTGTTAGCTACCTGCAAGCAAAAAATGTCTGGTGATTCGTATTCCAAAAAGCGTAAGCCATCTTTATTTAACCATGAACGCAATCCAGCCACATTCCAACTAGAAATTTTAAAATTAAATTGCTCTACTCCATCTTCTTTTGGTGGCAATATGAAGTCTTCTTTATTGTATTTTGTTGTAGTTGCATTCATTAAAGGCGCTTTTGCTTTCTTTGCTTTTGTAGCTGCAAAGAAAATATGTTGATAGTGTTAAAATATTACTTAATTCCAAAATATTTCTTAGGGATTTAATACGAACGCTTAGCTCCATCGACCTCATCATCGTCAGCGATGGCAGCAGCCCTCTTTCGACCTTTGGGTCTCTTATCCTCTTCTGTGACACCTGTAAAAATCAGTGAACGGTCACGTGATATATTTGAACATACTTAAATTTTTCCTATACGCTCGAATACACTTTCGATTTTTCATCTTGGTAATTTTGCTTTTAAAACAAATTTTTTAAATTATTGTAATTAAGTAAACAAAGTAATTGACATATCAACCAAAACAATGTTGACTAATAATGTTGCTACAGAGTATAATAGTTTTGTTCACCTAACGGTTGTTTGTATCACCTAAAACTAATCGAGTTAGATATAGGGTTATATATATATAAATGATCAGGATGAAGAGACGAGTTGAAATCCGGGTGACTGTCTGTCCGTCCGTCCGTCCGTGCAAGCTCTAACTTGAGTAAAAATTGAGATATCTTTATGAAACTTGGTAGACATGTTTCTTGGTACCGTGAGATGGTTGGTATTGCAGATGGGCGTAATCGGACCACTGCCACGCCCACAAAACGACATTAATCGAAAACAAATAACTTGCCATAACTAAGCTCCACAATAAGATACAAGACTGTTATTTGGTACACAGGATCACATTAGGGAGGGGCATCTGCAGTTAAAACTTTTTTTTTAAAAGTGGGCGTGGTCCCGCCTCTAATAGATTTAATGTGCATATCTCCTAAACCGCTAATGCTATAATAACAAAATTCACTAGAAGCAAATGTTTTTAGCACTTCTATTGACGGTGTGAAAATAGTTGAAATCGGGTGGCAACTCCACCCACTCCCCATATAACGGTACTGTTAAAAACTACTAAAAGCGCGATAAATCAAGCACTAAACACGCCAGATATTTAATTTTATCTCTGAGATGGTATAAGATGACTTTATAGGAACCGCGTTCAAAATTAGACAGTGGGCGTGGCACAGCCCACTTTTAGGTGAAAACCCATATCTTGAGATCGGCTCAACCGATTTCAACCAATCTTTTCATGTTTCTATGTCATAGTGCGAAAATGGGCGAAATCGGACTACAACCACGCTTACTTCCCATGTAACACCATTTTCAATTCCATCTGATTCTTTCACTTTCCACTATGCAAATCAGGTAACAATGATTATATCAGGGTAAAACTTTGCGTGAATAATGCAATTAAAGTATGCCACCTTGCGGCCAAAAATTGTCTAAATCGAACCAAAACTGTTCAAACCCCTAAGTACTAAATATGTGGACCCCAGTGCCTATAGTTGACCTTCTACCGAAAATATCAGTCAATCCACAAAGAAATCTCAAACGAGTATACCATTTGACTTTGCGAGAGTATAAAATGTTGGGTTACATCCGAACTTAGCCCTTCCTTACTTGTTTAGTAAATATTTATGTATATTTTTAGGCTTACCATTTTCCAATTCTTCCTCGGCGCTTTTTTTCTGAGTTTTGGCTGCTCTTGCTCTAGGTTTGGTTTCCTTTGCCGCTTTCTTTTCCTTCGGTTCTTTTTTGGATATTTCTGTAAAATATATGTTTTTAAATCATAAAAATGTTATGTTTCAATATTATATATTACTATTAGTGGTGGGTTTAAAATCCTCCTCTTTCGTCTCTACATTCAATTCTGCAGTTTTTTCAATTAAAATGTCTGCAACTGGGTCCTTGTTGGTAGCTTTGCGTTTAGTAGCTGCCTTTCCTTTTGAACGTTTCTCCGTCGATTTTTCCAATAAATCTTTAACAACTAACTCCTTTTGTTCCTGTTTTGGCTGTCTGCCTTTTGACTTTGCTTTTTCCACAATTGTCTCTGGTTCATTGTTTGGTTCAATTTCCTCTTGTTTTGGCTGTCTGCCTTTTGCCTTGGGTTTCTTCGCATCCACAATTGCTTCTGGTTCTGCTTCGTTGTCTGTTTCAATTGGCTCCGTTTTGACTTTGGTGCTCTTAGAAATTTTCTTTTTTTTATCCTCCTTTACTAGCTGTACAGTTTCGGCACTTTTTTCTTTTAGAATATCATTGCCCGATTTTTTTTGCTTTTTTTGTTTGCTGCTGGACTCTTCAGCAATTGACAGGACTGCAATGGGTTCCTCAATATCAATAGTTGCAGCAGTAATTTTTTTTCCTTTTCCTGTTAAAAATTAGTATATATATAAAACACATTATTAAAACAAAAAAAAAAAAATAGAAATACCTCTTCCCTTCGGTGCCGGCGCTACATTAATTTCTGTATTTTTGTCATCAGACGTTTTCACAATTTTTGCGGCCACCGCTTTTCGTCCTCGTTTGGCTGGTGCCACAACTTCCATAGTCTCTTCACTGATATTCGCCACCGCTTGTGAGAGCTCCTCTGTAGCAGTTTTCTTGCCACGACCTTTAGTTGTTGTAGCTGGCTTTTTCGCAACTTTCGTATCATAGTCCAAAGAATTTATAGCATTTGATATTTCCTCATCATTTGATAACTTTTTGCGTCCTCTGACGGTGGCAACGGCTTTTACAATTTTTTCTGCATTTTCTGGCGGTATGATGTCTACTTCTTTAACCGCCTCTTTTTTAGCTTTACGGCCGCGTCCTTTACCCTTAGTGGAAATTACAGGGTCTTCATCACCACTCAAAAATCCGCTTGACGAAGACACAACACCTTCTTCATTACCATTGTCCAGTGGCTTTTGTCCTTCAACCACTTTAGCTAACTTTGCCATTCTTGCTTCACTTCGTAATAATTGCAACGGAATTATTAGCGGAAAATTTCCTTGGTAGCGTTTAGCAATACTTGTTGGTTCAAAATTATATACTATGATTTTAGTTTTATATTTTGAACTAGCAAACTTACTTTCCTGCAATCTGAAAAATATTTGCCGGACACAATTTGCACTATACAAAAAAGGAGGATGTAAAATGCCGCACAAGAGGCGCGAAAACGACATAACAAATGTCAAATCCTTCTTCTTCTTGAGCATTCAGGCAAAATTCAAAATTTCAAATTTTTATGAACATGGTAAATTTTTATTGCTATACAACAATAGCAACAATAAAACTTATGTTGAATGTTGAAATAATGTATATTAAGAGAATTTGTGCTACTTTTTACTATTAATAAACATTTTGTTTTAAGCATAAACTCATAAGGAGATTAATTGCCATTCACAATGATCGAAATTTTTATTGTATTTTTCTCTTTCAGCTTATCTAAGCGCTCTTTTCTTTAAATTTGTGAAAAGGAAAAAGTACACTTTTTGATTATTCTTAAATCTTTTATCTCTTGCAATATAATTATCTTCTTCATACAAGTATATCTATTTAATGCCCAGCAATTCCTGCATTTATCTTTAACACAATTAAAACATTTTCTTTCTTCTTCCACACATTTATTTCCATTTTGACACATACCATAAGTATATAAGTATATATTTGTATCTACATCTATATACATATATGTGTATTAATGATGATGAATCAGGTTTTATTTTTTTTTGTAATTTTTTCGTACTTTAAGCAGAGAAACAAAACAGAACGGAAACGGAAGAACCGAGACGTATGCGAAGGTAAAATAAATGAATAATAAAAAAATTATTGCGGATACGAAAATACGGAAGTGCACAGATGGTATTAAAGCACGAAGCGTAAGAGGAGTTTAACTCCAACAACAATTAAAAATAATAACACGAATGAAGAGAGAAAGCACAAAAAATTAGTTAAAGGAAAAATTAAAAAAAAAACTTACATTGTTAGAATGTTGGAAAACAGCTGTTCACAAAACAAAAGAAGCGTAAGCAATTCGAAGATAATAATAACTGTACTAAAGGTGTGAAAAATTCTATCAGATAAGGATTTTTAGGTAGAAGTTTTCCAAGCGGCAAACGTGGCTACATAACCTCTACAAATTGGGTTTATTATATATTAAGTAAAATAATTAAACTACAGTACAACATTTTGAAAGAATACAACTTTTCAAAAGAGTCACGGCAGTTATACGAGAGGAGACCGTTATTGATGTTAGTTGTAACTGTGTCTGAACCCAGGACCTGCCTAGAGGTATCATGCAGCTCTAATCGTTATATATAATTTTAAGTATAAAATCTTATGCTCGAATATTCCAAAATACCAAGCGCTGAACCCTTCTCAAAGATTGTCAAGGGATTAACTAAGTGAATTGTCGCTGGTACCACCACAAAGGTTATAGTTCAAACTAAAGTAATGGCACACCCAAAATTTAAATTTGAAAAGTAAGCATGTGTGTGTATGTATGTGTATACATACGCGAAAATTTGGGTCAATAGCATTGGGACGCAATGTGGCATTGTTAGCTGTCAGTGTGATAAGAGAAGCCGTACTCAATTGGTGGCTCTCTGTCCCAGCCGCTGATGAATATACACCTACATTCATAAAGGATGCAGTGAGGTGTATGTGTATTGTATGTATATGTGTAAGCAGTTTTGACATTAGCTGCTAATAATCACACACTTACATTAGGGCATAAAGTCACAAACGGCCGCATGGCAGCATTTACATGAAAACGGTCTTAGTGTCTTCTTGTGTCTGCTATATTTTGTTGCATTTCCCATAGAGTCCTTTGGGGCCCAATAACGGCACTAATGCGATTACCAATGTCGAAGGAAATCGGTAAATGTTCTTGTTGTGAAAGGTAACCAAGGCACATTCAAACCGGCGAGTCAAGTGCAAAAGCGAAAGTGAGTGATTTTCGAATTTTTATGTATGTGTGTTGTTGCTTCTTATAAATCAGAACAATAGTTATGAGGTTTTATATTAAATATGTTTGTATATAAAAATAATTCACAGCTTACTTTTTGCTTTGTTTCTCAGCTCTATTGATTTATGACCTCGAATAAATGGGGTAGAGCCAAATGTTTTCGATTATTGAGCAGAAGTGAAAAGTATGATGAGTGAATACTAATTTCTTGAGTTTTATTTATTCATAAACCATTATTATTGCTGTTAATAATAGTAACTACATTTGAGCAAAGCTGGTAGAAAGCGGTTTAAGAGAAGAAAGATGTTACATAAGGACATTTAATTAGATTCCCCAGAGTTTTACGGAGGTCGAATCAACTGAGTTAGCCTTGTTTTCCAAATAATTTTTTAAATCGTAACTGCAAGGTGATTGCTGGCAATTCATTAGATTAAAATACTTCATATATAAAAGTTAAGCCTAAAGATGCTTTATTGAAAGTGCTTGTAATTTTCACTCCACTTTCTTTCTCATATTTAAATAAGAAATGTGTGCATAATTTATAAAATATGTGCTTTAATATAAACTCTCTCCACACAAAAGCGTGTGTATACCATTAGAGCGCAGGCAGGAAACGAAGCGTGGGTCATTTCGAGAAGCTAAGCAAATGTGGCAGAAACAGTCAGCGGTAAGTTGCACGCTTCTTCATTTCACATACAATCACACACACATGTACACACGTACAACGTGCAACTGAAATATTTTATGCGCTTGTAACTACGTCTTATTCAGCATAATCAGGCACTCATGTGTGGTTGGTGGCAACGTGCAATGGTGGGAAAATGAAAAAATATGAAAAATTTATAAATTATTTTATTATTACTCGGCGCAGGCATTCACATTCAGGCATGTTTGTGTGTGTGTGTGTGTAAGTGCGGATGTACACACACGCGTGCTTGTCGCGTTGACACATTGAAATATTTGATACAATTTATTATGTTGTGTACTCACCCAATACATCCACACACACACACGCACACATACATATATATGCATACAACACAGCAGGTGTGTGAATGGTCTGTCTTGTGCCAACAAAGTGTAAGTAGCATATTTTCTGGCGCAGACATTTGCAATATTTCACAAGTACGCGTGAACGCCTTAAAGTATGCTTTCACATCGCATTTAGTTGTTACGCGTCTTGTTTACTTAGAATATTTATATTTAGCTTATTTGTCATTTTCGCTATTTTTCACCGAAATTCACATACTAGCGCGGTTACTTCTTCACATTCTAATTTGGGCTTTTATGTCAGACGTAATAGTCACAAAAAAAAAGTTACGAAATAGCTGCTCAATCGCAAACTTTTATGATTTACGTTGCTTTCTGTTTAGTCTAATTTGCTTAGGTGCAAGGCAATTAGTATAGAATGGGATGTGTACTGAAAATATACAATTATAGGCAGAGCGTGTACTAAAACTTTTTAAAATAATTTTTATAACTGTAATGGCGAAATGAATATGTTATAAGATTCAATTTCAACTGATTTTTAAGCAAAAGAGAGCTCGTCTTCTCGGACTCACTCGGTGCAACAGTGTTGGTTCGCGCTGTTGGCTTCGCTAAAGTGACGTCAGCGCACCAGCTGATATTGTCAAGCTCACTGTCAATTTTTTTATATATAAAGAATGTCTACAGTTTACTTTGCATAAGGCTAGATATGACTCCTCCATACTTTTTCTAACTATGCCCAGTCTTTTCTTATTTGTCGGTATGGGCTCGCATTTTTCATTTCATTAAAGTGACGTCGCCACACCAGCTGATGCTGTCAAAGTCAAGGCCAACTTCTTTGTATATAGAGAATGTTTGAAATTTCATGCTTGCTTTCACATCAACAGTCACCAGCTAGAGTTCACATTGGATGAAGCTAAATATAGGTCTTCCGGTTTCCAGTTTTCTGCTTAGTGGGAGCAGAGGAAGGCGTTTATTCGCGCTGTCAATTTCGCTAAAATGACGTCACCGCACCAGCTGATACTCAAATTTGGCTATTTGGCATAAAGTTGGTTGTAGTTCCGATAGAAATTCTTTTCAGATATCCAACATCTATTCAGAACTTCAGCTGTAACTTCATTTAAAACATTCACACTTTGTTTACAAAGTTTTGGGTGCAAATTCAGTTATAAGTGGCAAAACAGTCTATTAAATGTACTGTATTACTGACTTCACTTTACACCTTACAGTTATTGTAGTGTGGATTATAGGTACTCATTAAGCCTCATTATGCAACAATATAGTATATAATCAGCTTGGTTTATGCGCAATTCACACATCTAAACGAATGTGCGTGTGTGTATGTGTGAGTGAGTCACACAATTGCATGTGGCCGAGACGAATTTAAATGAACGGTGCGGGAAATTGTCATTATGCCGGCGTTTTATTAACCATCAACAGCGGAACAATTAAATCGTCATGACGGCCATAACTCAGCTTAATGACTGTTAATGAAAACAATTGAGCTGCGCCAAGGATGCTGCAGGCGTTGCGGTTGGGGCGTGAAACAAGCAGACAAGTGAAGAGACGGACAGCTATATTGTTTGACATAAATAATTAAATACGGCAATGAGGTAGTGTGCGCGAAGTCATGTTGTGTATTGTCTGGATTTATATGGATTTAAGGTTTTTTATGCAAGAATTTTTATAAAAGTTGGAATATTATAAAATTTGTGTCGCGTTATGGTAGGTTTTAAATATATCACGCTGGAATAGAAGAAACTAGTGATATGTGCAACTGATCAAATTTGATACAGACTGTTGCACTTAGACTACGCCAACAAACCAAATCGATAAAATTATTTGCTACCTAGCCTAAAATATAATTTAAAGAAAGCTTGTGGTTGAAAAAGTTACCTTTGAACCATATTATTCTAACTTCCGGTTGAAGAGTTTATAAATTTGTTGCTAAGATCTTCGTAAAAAGCTGTGCTCTTCTGATTTCTTCAAAGTCTATGCATAAAACCGGCACTCAAATATGCTCCTATTGATGCCGAGCATTCGTTTTATTCCGTTTTAACAACGTAAACCTTTCAGCACTACACAACAGCTCTTCATCAACTCAAGGCTAAGCTTGCCGTATATTCTTCGCTAAATTTATTGTTGCCGAGTGATTTCACAACCCACAATGAAATGACCCATAATTGTATGCCACACTAGCATAATGAACTTCCAACTACCGCACACTCAACAATCAAGCGCCCAGCACAAGTGCCAGCTCAGCAAATACAACGGCGAGCATGTCGATTCGGGACGTTAATAGGCGAAATGCTGCTTGTGCACA